ACGGTGGTAAAAAAATACAATGGATTATTACTCAGCCATAAAATAGATGAAATACTGCCATTTGCGACAACATGGATGGAGCTCAAGATAATCATGCTAAGCGAAATAAGCCAGACAGAAAAAGTTGAAAATGACATGATATCACTTATATGTGGGATATAAACCTAAAAGCAACAAATGAACAGGACAAACAAACAGAGACTCATGGACATGGATTATAGATTAGTGGTTATCAGAGGGTAAGGGGTGGGGGGAGGGGGGAGATAGATGCGGTAAAAAGGGTCAAATATAGGGAGATAGGGGGAAGGTGAAATGGGTAAAAGGGATCAAATATATGGTAGCTGAAGGAAACTGGACTTTGGTGGTAAACATACAGTAGAATATACAGATGTCAAATGATAATGTACACCTGAAAATTATATAATTGTATTAACCAATGTTACCCCAATAAATTTAATTTTTAAGAAGTTTTTAAAAATGCCCCAATTTAAAGCAGTGCATAAAAGTGAAGAGCAGAGAGTCTCAAGGGAAAAGTGCAACTCTAGCCTTTTTAGATCTACAAGTATAAATATTATATATGCAGACATACATGCAAACTTGTCATCAGTAGGAATTGCTAAATTTCTCTACTTTTTGTTTAACAGTTTGCCTCAAAACTAAAAGCCAGTTTATTTTTTTACTGTTAAAACTAATCTTGACCTGAAACTCATCTTTTTGAAATTCTTCTAGTTACCTTCAGACTTCATCTCACTTTCAAAACTGAAGACGCTTGGACTAACTGGGAATCAGTTCCTTTCATTTCCGGAAGAAATCCTTTCTTTAGAGTCTTTAGAGAAATTATACATTGGGCAAGATCAGGGAGCCAAGCTCACCTATGTGCCAGAACACATTAGGAAACTACAGGTAAGCTTCCCCAAATGAGCAGGCAAAGAAGTACATGCCCACTGATGCCATAAGTTGACTGATGCTGAGAAAACTTGGCGGTGTCCCCACAGGCTGCATGTGGCATCAAGCATACTAGATTTCCAGCTCCAAACTAACAGTCATTGTTACACTTTGAGGCTTTTACTGTCTTGCCGAACAACCTCCAGATTTATACCCAAAGAACACTTTATTGTGACTGCTATCGGATATGTCATGCTCTACTCCTTTCTACTGCATCATTTGGCACGTTTTATTTGCAGAAACTAGCCATACTGATTTCCATTTACTTTTCACTTTTTATAAGCAGCTTCTGAAAACTGTACTATTTTGAAGTCTTAGTTATCATACAGGTGACATGACTGGGAGCCTGCATTTTGGATAGGCCATTAGATCTCCCTCCCTGCATGGTTGGAAGGCAAATCATGGTTTATTTCACTGTTGTGCCAGGTTCACTGAAGTTGGTTCCACAGCACTGTCTTAAATCCTAGCAAAGCAACAAAATAACTTCATTCAAAGTAGCTATACCAGTGTGTTTTTATTTATATGCATCCTTAAAGAATTGTTATTTTTTTCATGTTCCTGATACTGCACTCTTAATACGGATAAAGTAGGTGTGAGCCACTACAAAGCTCCCAGTCATGGAACTGAGCAGTGGTATGTACAGCACAGATACTTCTTGCATATAACACCAGGTTTCTCTTCCTAATTCTCCATTCCTTTGCCCTATGTTAATAGAACTTGTTCATCTTGTTCCTTGTACATGTCATGACATACTCTTCAGAATCTTAGGGTGAAATGCAAACAAGTTTTTGCCCAGTGAATTTGAAAAGAGTTAACCCATTATCTGTACATTTTGGCTACTTTTACTTGGGCAATGTTGGATTGACTTTTGAGGAAATTACACTTCTGTGGCAACTGCTACAGTTAGCTATGCAAAAGGGAGCAAATGATATGTGTAGTTAAATTATTTTTCCTTGAAGTTCTCATGAAACAAACACTACATTCCCATGTTCTCTTTTCCTCACATAAATAAGAATCACATAACAATGGCTGAACTCAAAAATAGTTATGTTTTTTGATTATGTCCTTTAAATGTTTTTTTTTTCTCCCTTTATTCTAATACATAATAACCCTCATTGAAAGAGCATGAGAACTCGCAGGTGATGTTAGTTGTTATAATTCATTTAGCAATGTAAGAATTATTATGGTATACTCTCATGTTATTTCAGAGTCTTAAAGAGCTGTATATAGAGAATAACCATCTGGAATACCTGCCAATATCATTAGGATCAATGCCTAACCTGGAGATTCTTGATTGCCGCCACAATCTGCTTAAGCAACTTCCAGATGCCATCTGCCAAGCACAAGGTGAGGAATCTTAGTAGATCTGCAACCTAGAAGAGTTTGAATCCAGTATTTCCCATGACGAAGACTTCCCTGCTTTACTAAAGGCCAATTTTTGTGTTTAGAGAGCTTGGACCTACCCCATTACCTCCTTGCAGGGCTCTCTAGTGACATGGAGCAGGCCAGATACCTGACTAGTACAGCTAAGAGCCTCACAAAGGCACTTATATTTATTAGGAATTGAAGAATAAATAGCAAGTACTAATTCATCCCTATAGTCATACACCACCAACAATAATTTACTGAATATCTACTACATGCCAGAATTTGGAGTTGGGGTCCTGCAGTAAATTTTTATTAGGTCACTAAGTCACTTGAATAAAAGGAAACATATTTCTACCAGAGTGGTGAAATTAGCAAGTGGGGAGGCTTTCAGAGCTACATCATTGACATGAAAAGTCATACATGATTCCTATTTAAACATTCGAACATTTTCTACTAGGCTAAATTATTATTTTTTATTTGTACATCCATCATTACATCCATTCACTTAAGCTTTTTCTGAGCTCTTGTTGGAACCAGAATTTTTTTTTTTTTTTTTGCCACAGTATGGTGAATCTTTAGGTTTATAGATATATTTTTAAACCATGACTGTTCTTTAATGAAAGGGAGATGAAAGAATATGAGTGGAAGCTGTTGCCTGCCCATAAGATATTCGAAGATTGGGGGTGGGTGGATATGCCATACTCAGTAATGCTCCTGCCCTTGGTCTCTGGAGGAATGAAACATTCTCAAAAATTTTTTAGTGTTTACTATTTTCCTATCACTAATACTTATTTACACTAGCACCAACAATATTGAGTTGTTATAAAGAAGAGAACTTGGGTTTGCCTCATTAAATCTGATGTCTTTTGTGACATGGCACTTTAGGAAACAAACATTTCAAAGTGATTGGACTAAAGATTGCACATTTTAATTTTGCTGATTTTTAAGATAAATCTATCATCTAAATTTTTTTTTTCAGTTTTGAAAGAATTACTGCTTGAGGACAACTTGCTCACCCATCTTCCAGAGGATTTGGATCGTCTAGTAAATCTAAAGGTTCTGACACTGATGGACAATCCCATGGAAGAACCCACAATAGAAGTGTGCGCCGAAGGCAAAGAGGCTATACTGACATATCTGAAGGAGAAAAAAAAAAAGAAATTCATGGCAACAAAGGTAAAATCAGCAAAAATTCTGGATAATGTATTTACAGATGCTTTGGACAAGGGTTAGTGTTAAACACACTACAGATTACCCAGTGGGGCTTCACTTTACACATCTATACCTTGTCCTCCTTGGGATACTTTTATTTACTTTTATATCCTCAAGGCTAAGTGAGAGAGTTTTTGAACATCATCGTAGCATTTTTGTCTTTTATGTTTCTTATCTCTTTGTCACATAAGAAGCCAAAAAATAGGCAAAAGAAACCAAAACTTCAAATCCTAAGATGATCCAAAATTCTTGGACTATTCACTGGAGTAAAAAGCTGATATTAACAAAGTCAGTAAGATAAAGCTGAAAATTAGAAATGAAAGCATTTATGGAGCAGAGATCTAGAGACCAGATTTCTGCTCTGCCACTAACTAGTATCAAAGGCCTAAGAGCCCTGTTCCTCTCCTTGCCTGCCAGCCCAAGGAGAAATGAGGATACCCTCCACAGACCTGGAATATGTCCAATTCAGTCAATATTCAATATTATTTAATCAACTGGCCCAAGCCCCCATAATCTCACACCCAGATGACTGCATTAAGTCTTCTAACTAGTGTCCCTACATCCACTCCTGCTTCCCATACAATGTACCTTCTACTCAGCAGTTAAACTGGTGCTGGCAAAACATAGGTCGATCAGCTATTTCTTTGCTGAAATCAATGATTCTCCATTTTCTCTGGACTAAGAGGTAGTCTTTGTTGCAAGACCCACTATCAATGGCCCTCAACTGTATCAGACACAATGCCCTCCCTTTTATGATAAATATGATGTGATGCCTCTTTTGTTCTTCTGAAATTAAACTCATAATATAATCTACCCCAAACACATAATTTTAATAAATCAAAATAATGCCCGAGCTGCAACATAAAGGAAAAAGAAAAGTAATTTACATTAAAATATTTATTTGAATATGTATATATTCCAGAATGACTACATTGTAATAATGAAAATAATACCTTTTGGATACTTTCTAAAAGTATTTTGAAAAACCATGTATCATCTTATATATTTTTAAATTGACATTTAAAATTTTTTTTTTGCCACAAAGTTTAAATCATTGCAAAGGATTTACTTTCTAGTGAATTTTAAATATTGACATCCTCAAATCGAGCTGTTAGATCAATATTTTAAATACATCCAATGGAATCTAAATACCACTTTGATTTGATGTCTCAGTCAACATTAATTTACAAAATACTTGAATAAGCTCTTATTTTATAGGCAGAAATTTTGTCATATCTTTTTCTTCTTGAACATATTTTAATTTTACCCTCAGAACTGATCTTAATATTTTATACATATATATGTAATTTAAGTCACTTATAGATCAGCTTTCATACTTCTAGACAAGAATATTTGTATACACTAGATTTTAAAATTAATTTTTTCTGTGACCATAGCATTTTTAATGTTCTGGATTGTTATATTTTATTAGTTATGTTACAGTTGTTAGTAGTATAAAATTGACCAAAACAACAGACAATCTATTACAAATTTTGATATTTAATTATTTGACCTAGAGGATTTTTGGAAAATACATATACAAATGAGAGAGACTCTTTCACATACTTTATATATCTTTGCATAAATATTACTTGTTGCTAGAATGAGGCAGAGTTTGGTATTGGTTCTATTCCTGTTTTTTGTTTAACAATGAAGTGCTGAGAAATCTTGTTCACATAGATAAGTGGACAAGAATGGAAGAAGCCTTTTTTGGGGGGGCTTGTATTTTGTTTTAAGTAGCAATGCCTTACATAACTCTTGAACTTTTCTCAGATTTATATCCCCCCAAAATCAGAGAGAAGGCTCTTAGAGGACAAATCAACTGGTCTTCTTTCAATTTTCTCAAAGACAAAGAGTTAGAAGGCAGAATGATTGGTTACCCTGTTCTTAGAGCCAACATCAACAATATTACTTAGAATTGTCCCCTTTTTTGATGTCCCAGAGGTTTTTGGAGTCCAGGGCAGCACACCTTAGTCATAGTCAGGTGGATAAGAAGTGTGCCAGAGGGGCATTTATGAAGGGGAAGGTTTCAGAGAGTCAGCAGCTGTGTTCCTAGGCAGATACATTTTAGGAAAGGCTATACATAGAAATGGATTGCCTCCAAACTATCCAAGCTTGCATACCTTTGGAAAGTCTTTGTGGACCAGGGTGCATGCCACTTGGTTGAAGACTGTGTGCGAAATCTGAAGACAACAAAAAGCCCTATAAATTTCCAAAATACCTCTAGAGGGCAACATTGTTCTCCTGGAAAATTATCACCCTAACAGTCTGCTGCTTTCACTCCACATCTCATCTTTCCCATTTTCACTTTACTTGAGTCACAAACAGGATCCTTGATGTTTTTCCCCAAGCATGCTCCAGCTTTAAGGTCTTAAAACTCACTCCTCCCTCTGCCCAGAGATACTTCCCCCAGATATGAACGAGACTCCACCCACACTTAGTTTTCAGTCTCTGCTCAAATATCTTCATATTTGCCCTTGATCTACATTATATAAAACAGCATATCCCCACCTACTTCATTTACCCATTAATTCAACAAATACTTATTAAGCTTCTACTATGTGCCAGGCACTCTTCTAGGCACTGCAAAGAGATCAGTGAACAAAACAGACAAGTATCTCATCGTATTGCTTACATTCTAGTGTGATGGGAATAAAAACGTGAGCTATAAAAAAAAAATTATATACTATGTTAGAAAGTGATAATTGGCACTGGGAAAAAGTTCAAGCTAAGAAGAAATGAAATTGCCAGTGTTTGTGGTAGGGGTAGGCCTCATTGGAAAAAAGACTGCCTTAGTTAGCTCAGGCTGCCACAGCAGCGTACCATAGCCTGGGGGTCTTAAACAACAGAAATTAATTTTCTCACAATTCTGGAAGCTAGAGGTTCAGAGAGCCTACTAATAGAGGAGGGATGTTCCTGAGTAGGTGGGAGGAAATAGGATCAAGTGAGGGAAAAAGTGAGGGCTGGCTGTAGGTAGGAGCCCAGAAAATACAGTAAAAAGCAGAGTAGAGACACTCCTGATTCTCCTTATTGTCATCTCCAGGGCACTTAACATGATCTGTCAAATTACACATTCATCTGTTTATTGTTTCTTCCTCTCACTGGAATGTGAGCTCTATAAAGTCAGTGACATTGGTATTTAAGTGCTGTTTCTCAAAAGTTTATAACATTGCCTGGGGCATAAAAGCACTAAATATTCTCTTTAAAATTTGCCTGGATGACTTGCTAATTGAGAAAGAGAGAAAATGAGGTTGAGTTCTAATCACATTCCGTTCTCCACATCTTTAAAACCACATGCCAGACCAAGAGATGTGACCACCCCAGTCCATAGTGACGCTGCTTGGGTTTGTCTCCTTTTCAGATTCAAGCATGGTGGCGTGGAATAATGGTACGGAAAGGACTTGGAAGATATGATGAACTGCTAAAATTACGAAAGAAAGGAAAGAATTCTCCAAAAGATAAGAAAGGAAAGAAGGATGTAAAAGAAAAGCCTGCAAAGGGAAAGAAGAAATAATTCTACAAATTAATGGCTTGAGATAATGAACCCTGATGGATTAAGAAGGCAAAATATATAGAAATTCGATGCCTACCACACAAAAATTATTTGTAGAATTATGGTTATGTATAAAAATAAAGATTATTTTCCGGAAATATTTATGGACAAAATGATATGATGCTTGGGAATGGCTTTAGAATAATACCAGGGAGAGGTAAATGTGGGGGATCCAAGTGAAACAAGATTGGCCATAAGTTGATAATTACAGAAAAATATGATAAATACATTGAGGTCCTTTATACTATCCTGTCTGCTTTAAAAACTTTTAATTTTGAAATAATTATATACTTGCAGGAAGTTCCAAAGAAATGTATGGACAGGTTCATGCACCCTTTACCCTCCCTTAGTGTTGACATCTTGCATAACTGCAATAACAAAACCAGAACATCTACATTAGCGCCATCAACAGAAGTCATTCAGGTTCCATCAGTTGTACATACACTCATTTGCATGTGCGTGTGTGTAGGTCAATGCAGTTTTGTCTTCTCACATGCAGTTTTATGTGGCCTCCATACAATCAAGATACAGAATTGTTCCATCACCGCGAGTCTTCACTATGTTACTCCTTTTAGTGACACCTACCACCTACCCCTAATCCCTAAGCTATTGTCCATCTCTAATTTTGTTATTTCAAGAATGTTATATAAATTGCATCACATATGTGACCTTGGGGAATCAGCTTACTGAAAACCACCATGATCAAAGTGAATGCTGCTGCTTTGATGTTGGTCAAAGTGTTCTAGCTCTTCCTCCTGTGAAGCTGAGAGGATCCATCTTTTCATTCCTACCTCAGTGATCTCGGGGAGTTTGGTTACGGCACATAACAGGTGTCTGAACCATTGTCCACAATCTCGAAAAGTTGATGGCCGAAGGCTAATATCCAATTCAGTTAGCTCTTTGAGGAGCCACACATTTTGGCAGAAGATGGCCCATCCTTCATCACAGATGCTGTCATTATAGCTCAGGTCAAGCTTCCGTAGCTTGGTCAGATGACCTGTCTGTATCGCCGATACTGAAAAAAAAAAATCACTCTAAGTGCTAAAATATAAGAATACTGTCTGCCGTGGCTGTTTCCCATTTCCAATAATATAACACTATAGCTCCAGGCTTAGTAATGACAATATTGATAATGAGTAATGATTGGTTATTAGCTAGCAGCTTTATTCAGGGCATCTGAAATTACTTCAGTAACAAATTTCCTCTCTGCACATCCCTGTACAGCTACAAATGGATTTTTTTTTTCTTTCCAGATCTCAGCCCAAAGGACATCTTTTTTTGTCAAGCTTCTGCTCTTTACTCCACTGGGGTCCCAGCCCTTCCTACAGACCTCCCTTAACTAAATGTAAGGAGTAAGGATCTTTGGCTTTAACTGAGGACCAATAATCTTGCTATTTAATGCTGTTTAATTGTTCATTGCTCATTCATTCTGTCATTCTTCAGTCAACAATTATTTAATTGAGTACTTTCCATGTGCAAAATATACCTGGATAATTTCTAATTCAACTGGGAGACCTCTAATACACAGAACAATTTTCCTTTCGAATAGCACATATCACACAGTACTACCTACAATGACACTTAATAAATAATAATAATAAAGATAAGAGACAATAATTTCTGTAAGAGGAAGTAGAGGAGACAGCCAAGGCAAACAGCACATGCTTTTCTTGTCAGCCAAAAATCGGAATGGATTAGAGCTGAGATACTACAATAAAATCTCAGAGTTGCAAGGGACCTCAAAGGTCTCCTGATTCAACCTGCATCCAGATCAATGATCAGAGAAGAATCCCTTTCATAGCTTCTCTAGGGTGACCAGCATGAGTCTGCCTGAAGTACCCTTTTAGAATACCCCAACAAAGTGAAGCAGGGCCTGAGTTTGCTAATGAGAACACTGAAGACCCTCAGGTATGGGCGGGCGTGGAGCTGAGCACCCTGCAGGAGCCTCCCACCACCACATCTCTATCCGTCTCCTTTTATAAATGCCCTCTACTGTCTTTTTGGCTTTAGCATTGCCCTTCTTTGTTTTAACCAGATCTCTTCTAAGCTAATGTCAGAAGAAGGGAAGCTGAGCCGAGGGCTTAGCCCCAGGCCTTCTCTACCTCCCTCCCTCTGGGCTTGCCAGGCAGGCACACTGAGCTCTGCGGCAGGACTCCTGTGGAACCCGTAGATACAAACCCAGGAGAGCCACGTCTTCTGTCACTAGGGAACAGCTGCTCAGCCTCAGCACTTGAAGGGATGTCGAAAGCTTCAGAGTTTCCAGAAGCAGCTTCAGGTTGCCACCAACACATTTATTCCAGGAAAGGCTGAACACTTCCAGAGCAGAGAGGTGAATGGAAGCTTCAGCTAAAATGACAGCAACAAGAATAGCAACCATTTAGGGTTCTTTAGGGGTCCTAAGCCTTGAATTTGGGGAACCTAGGCTAGAGCAACATATTAACATAACAGATTCAGAAAGTTTTAGAGACTGGCTCTCCTGCCTGATATTTATGTTGTCTGTTTTTATTCCGAAGAAATGTTAGAAACCTTAGAAAGTAAAACTTGATTAAGTGGAATTCACTATCAAGTGGGGTTTCTTTCCTTCACATTTAAGAAGGAGAAAGAGGCAAAGAGTTTGGACAGCTAGTCATCAGTCCCGGGGTGAGTCCCAGTTTTACGGATTCCACTGTAAAGTCACTGCTGAAATCCAGAGACAGGGCCAAGCCTCCCTTGACTCTGAAACACCAAAATGTATTTGTGTTTCCTTAAATGCAGTTACAGAGACAAAGGAAAGAAATAATGTATTTTGGAAAGATTTTTAAAAGGAAAATAAAAGATTTTTCTGCTTAATTATGTTTCCCCTAACACTAAAATTAACCAGAACAAGATACAGTAGTTAATTACACTAAATAATTTTGCCTTTTTTCTAAAAAGTAAAATATTTTCAAAGGGAAAATATATATTCTAATAAGAAAACCCCTCCCAGTCATATGGTACAGAGACTTGTCAATAAGAAATGAAAATTTTTTCCTTATAAAAGTGATATAAATATATATTTACTTGATTTACTTTTTAATTCAAATCGAATGATAGACTTATGTTAGATGATGTAATTTAGTGTAATATCTACTTGATTATGATCCATTGATTGTAATTGGAAAGAGCGGTGTCTTCTGATGACAGAAGATACAAAATTAAAAACAAAATTTTCTAAAAAATTATTCAACATTTTCCAACTAGAAAGCATATCTACGAAACATTGTGTTGTCCCCAAATTTATTTTTTGCAGAATCTTTCTAACTGAGCATTAGTCTGATCAATGGAATGTGTTGTGTATGCGTTTACTTAACCATTTTAAGGATTACAGACCCCTTTTGGAAGTTAATCTGTCTGTCTGTCTATCTATTCTATCTATCTATCTATCTATCTATCTATCTATCTATCTATCTATCTATCCACCTATCTACTTACTTAACTAATATGTAGAAATACCTAAAATGTGCTTTGGGTACTTAAGAATAAATGCAATCTTTGCCCTCAAGAAGATTACAATCTGGGAAAAATATGGACATTAAAAAACCACACTAAATAAGTACATAATTATAAATGCTGATAAAAAATATAAAGAAGATACAGGGGTTTTTAATGTCTTAGAAGGGGATGTTTACACTGAGACCTGAAGTCAGAGCTCCCCAGGAAAGAATGAGGGGTAGAAAATCCAGGAAACAGGAAGGCTTAGTGTTAGGAGAGAGCTCGATGATAAGAAGAAACTAAAAGAAGCCAACTGAGGCTGGGTTCAGGGAGCGAGGGGCAGAGTGGCTGAGATGTACTAGGGCCAGGTCACCCGGGCCTTTTTTGACAACATGAAGGAATTTGGATTTTACCAGAGGTGTTACAGGCAGCCATTGGGTAGTGATAAGATCCAATTTATTTTTTAAATGGAATTTATAGACTCTGTCCCCATAATAATATTAACTAACATTTAATGAGTATCTACTATGTGCCAGGCACCTTTAATAAACTTCACATGCATTAACCCATTTAATTCTTACAACTCTACGAGATAGGATACAATTATTTTATTTTACATTTTGCAGATAAAAAAAACAAAGCACAGACGTGATCAGTACCACAAGTCACAAGAACTAGAGCCAGGATTTGATTTCAGGCAGTCTGATTCCAGGTGCTTTGGAGCCAGAAAATGTACCACACAGTCTCCTAACAAAATAATTGCAGTCAATTCTAGGGATGTCACAGCTCCCTTTCCCAAGCCTGACTATGGACTGACTCTCTGACCTGGGGAGGGGGAGATCCATGGTCTCCATTAAGAATTCCAGATCTGAAAGGTACATACCTGCTACTTTTTCTCATCCAGACGCATGGGCAATGAGATAAGCAAAGCTGGGAGCAGTACATGGTCAGGACAAAGTCTATGTGGGCCGAACAAAATATTTGGGCTAAAAATGGGCACAAGAATACCCTAAATATAGAGTTTTTAGAATTTGGGGTAAATTATATTAATTTCTACTAATAGATATTAATAAATAGCTACTTATTATAGAATACATTAATTTTATTAATAATAGCCTTTGGTCCACATATAATTCATTTTTAAGGAAGTGTCAACTGACATAACACTTGGGAGGTCAGAGAGAAGGGCTGTTTTCATCGTAATCCAGGGAGCATCAGAATTCAACCACTCTGGTCTTGTGCACGTGCGCAAAAAAGTTAACCTACCTGGGGTGAGACTGCGCTCTCCCTAGAAAGGACTACTCGCAAGGTTGGCCCTTAGCCAACATCTGGGAAATTGGAATTTGGAAGTGTTCCCATCACTCCTCAACTGATAAGTGTGGTTCATTGTACCAATGGTGTCTGTGTACAGATAATGTGGTTTATGCTGAATGCCAGCTTTCCTTCTGGGAGTCTGCAATTTTGGTATCTGCTAAGCAAAGGGAGCCTGTGTGACCATCTCCCAATAAAAACCCTGGTCTTGAAGGTTCAGGCAAGCCTCCCCAGTAGACAATATTTCATGTGTGTCACCACAACTTGATGGAGGAATGGAGCGTGTCCCATCTACAGGGAGAGGACTCTTGGAAACTTGTGCCTCGTTTCCCCCTGACAGCACCCCATGCACCTGTCCCTTTGCTGATTTTGCTTTATAGCTTTATATCCTTTCATTGTAATAAATCTCAACAGTGAGCACAACCAAATGCTGAGACCTGCAAGTCATTCTAGTGGATCGCACGTGGCATCGGGACCCCTGCCAGGCAGCATGTGCCCGAAGCGCTAGTTGCCTTGGTGTATTTGGGGAAATACGGCAAAAATCCCTTGCCTCGAAATGTTTCTCTCTACTTGCCGGCAAGGCTCTTGCCCCCAAATAGGCAGAAATGTCAGAATCAGTAGACCCTTGATGTAGGCTGGGCTGTATCCATGACCTTCAGGCAGGCCCAGATTTCTGAGAGGACAGCAAACCCTGTTGGGAAGTAGATGCCAGGCAGTCGGCGAGGCTCGCACACTAGTAATTGCCTCCCTTTTCCCATAAGACAGGGATTCATATTGGCGCCTCATTGAAATTACATGTTAGTATGGACATGGACCTCCAGAGTTGGTTATATACACTTTAGATTTTCAACGTTAAGTATGCAAATGCCAGAGTTATTCACGTGCCTTCAGAAGGTCACTTTTAAGAAAATCTATTTCCTGAAAAGAAGACAAACCAGTACTTTACACCTTTGCCTGTGGCCAGAGCCTTGGAATGAAAGTCACGTGTAGGGGAAGAGAGACACCACCCTCCCAGGTGTGACTGTACCGGCCTCCAGGGACCCTCTTACCGAGGGCGGTGAATGTCTCCCTTTCCAAAGCACAGCTGTTGATTAGTAAGGACTTCAGCACTGGTAGAAAGCGGAGCCTGCTGAGTAGGTTTTCAGAAGAGCTGCCCACGTTTTTGTTGGCAGACAAATCCAATTCCTGAAGACTCGAGAGTAAAGGGATAACCTGGGCTGTTAAAATAGCAACAGTGACATGCTTTAGGCACCATCTCACAAATTCTTCTGGGTGTTTGTTTTCAACAGTCTTCTCGACTGGCAAGCCCAGGTCTCAGTAGTCTGAGCCTGGCCCGCCCTTACACACT